TTTTTTTTTAAATTTTGCGACACCAGGAGACACCTCAGGATTGGGGGTTGCAACAGTCAAAGGGTTAAGTTAATTTTAAGCCTGCCCGTAATGCTATGCATACAAGTGGCTTTGGCATGCTGCTCTTACCTGTATTTTTTTGTACCTCTGTATGTATGTTCAAATTATAAAATAAATAAATAATAAAAATAATAAAATAAATAAAAAAAATATTATACAATTATTATAAGTATTATTATTTTTACACTATAAATAATTTGTAATTTTTATTCACACAAAAAATAGAAGATTTACGGTTATGTAGACTACTGCATTATTGTAATACATAATTGTATAAATAATGTCAACCCATTCATGACTGCATATTGGAATGGACAGTGACATCATTTGTTTACTCTTGAACATTACCAAAGAATCGAACATTTCTGCTACTTTTCATCGTGAAACCAATCAAATTTATATCTATTTCTGTAATATATCTTCCATTCTATCAAATGAGACCAAAAAAACGAGAATACAACCATAAAAACCATGAGAAAATATCACTAAGGCGCAGCTAATGGCTGAGACGTGAACTCCATTATTTATGGTCCGATTTCTTTCATTTTCGGTGTACGTTAAGAATCATCTTTCCATCATACATTGCCTAAGTTTCAGTAAGATAGTAAAACAAACAAATGAGATCCAATTCCCTAGATCAAGAGCAAGAGCCCCTCACCAGCATCAAGGAACCTCCCTTGATGCCTGCTTGCTTATGGAAATTTCGCTCGCATATGGAAGCAAAAAATCGACCGAGTGACTGCTCATATTTGGAAAAACTCGCACGTGGATGCGCTCACAAGTGGAGGTGCCACTGTACTCGTTTACCGATGCCTCAGACTTACAATGGTCTCTCTGACCAGTATGCATACCTAAATAATGTATATATATTAAGAGCTGATTTCCTCTTGTCTGTTTACTACATGTATACAGCAAGGACATTATGGTTGGTATTATTACTTAGTATTTTTAGGGATTTGCATAAGGACATTATGTACAGTGGACCCTCAACCAGCGATGGCATCGATTAACAATAAATCTGACTAGCAATACATTTTAACGCAAAAATTTTGCCTCGACTAGTGCTTAAAAACCCGACCAGTGCTATTTGTTCCATACGAGAAGCGTCCACTTTGGCCTGAGCGCGCCTCACTTGTCCCGTGGGTGCCAGTGTTTACAAGACAGCCACCGCGGTCGCTTCCAAACATACAACTGGAACATTTCATATTATCACAGCCTTTGTAGTGATTGCACCTGCAAAATAAAGTCACCATGGGCCCCAAGAAAGCTTCTAGTGCCAACCCTACAGCAAAAAGGGTGAGAATTACTATGGAGATGAAGAAAGAGATCATTGCTAAGTATGAAAGTGGAGTGCGTGTCTCTGAGCTGGTCAGGTTGTATAATAAACCCCAATCAACCATCGCTACTATTGTGGGCAAGAAAATGGCAATCAAGGAAGCTGTTCTTGCCAAAGGTGCAACTATGTTTTTGAAACTGAGATCGCAAGTGGTAGAAGATGTTGAGAGACTCTTATTGGCGTGGATAAACGGGAAACAGATAGCAGGAGATAGCATCTCTCAAGCGATCATATGTGAAAAGGCTAGGAAGTTGCATGACGATTTAATTAAAAAAAATGCCAGCAACTAGTGATGTGAGTGAATTTAAGGCCAGCAAAGGTTGGTTTGAGAGATTTAAGAAGCGTAGTGGCATTCATAGTGTGATAAGGCATGGTGAGGCTGCTAGTTCGGACCACAAAGCGGCTGAAAAATATGTGCAGGAATTCAAGGAGTACATAGACAGTGAAGGACTGAAACCTGAACAAGTGTTTAATTGTGACGAAACAGGCCTGTTTTGGAAGAAAATGCCAAGCAGGACGTACATTACTCAGGAGGAAAAGGCACTCCCAGGACATAAGCCTATGAAAGACAGGCTTACTCTGTTGATGTGTGCCAATGCTAGTGGTGATTGCAAAGTGAAGCCTTTATTGGTGTATCGCTCTGAAACTCCCAAGAGTGTTCAGGAAAAACAATGTCGTCAAGGCTAATTTGTGTGTGCTGTGGAGGGCAAACAGTAAGGCATGGGTCACTAGGGACTTTTTCTATGACTAGTTACACCATGCATTTGCCCCCAATGTGAAAAATTACCTAATTGAAAAGAAATTAGACCTTAAGTGCCTCCTGGTATTAGACAATGCTCCTGGTCATCCTTCAGACTTGGCAGAGCGACTTTCTAGGGACATGAGCTTCATTAAGGTGAAGTTTTTGCCTCCTAATACCACTCCTCTCCTGCAGCCCATGGACCAGCAGGTCATTTCCAACTTCAAGAAACTGTACACAAAAGCTATGTTTGAAAGGTGCTTTGTAGTGACCTCTGAAACTCAACTGACTCTAAGAGAGTTTTGGAAAGATCATTTTACCATCCTCAATTGTGTAAACATTATAGGTAAGGCTTGGGAGGAAGTGACTAAGAGGACCTTAAACTCTGCTTGGAAAAAACTGTGGCCAGAATGTGTAGACAAAAGGGATTTTGAAGGGCTTGAGGCTAACCCTGAGAATCCTTTGCCAGTTGAGGAATCCACTGTGGCATTGGGGAAGTCCTTGGGGTTGGAGGTTAGTGGGGAGGATGTGGAAGAGCTGGTGGAGGAGGACAATGAAGAACTAACCACTGATGAGCTGCTAGATCATCTTGAACAGCAAGAGGGCAGACCTGAGGAAACTGCTTCGGAGGAGGGGATAGAGAAATTGAAGAAGTTGCCTACTTCTAAGATTAAGGAAATGTGTGCAAAGTGGCTTGAAGTGCAAACCTTTTTTGATGAAAATCACCCTGACACAGCTACTGCAAGCCGTGTTGGCAACCTGTGCACTGACAATGTTGTGAACCACTTTAGGAAAGTCATAAAGGAACGAGAGGTACAGGTATCTATGGAGAGATATGTTGTGCGACAGAGGTCCAGTGACTCTGAAGGGAAGTAACCCCAGAAAAAGACTTGCTACCTCAAGTGCTAATGGAAGGGGATTCCCCTTCTAAACATTAAGAAGATCAACAGTCTCCCCTCCTCCCATCCCATCAATTGTGGTGGCCCGGTGGCCTGGTGGCTAAAGCTCCCGCTTCACACACGGAGGGCCCGGGTTCGATTCCCGGCGGGTGGAAACATTTCGACACGTTTCCTTACACCTGTTGTCCTGTTCACCTAGCAGCAAATAGGTACCTGGGTGTTAGTCGACTGGTGTGGGTCGCATCCTGGGGGACAAGATTTAGGACCCCAATGGAAATAAGTTAGACAGTCCTCGATGACGCACTGACTTTCTTGGGTTATCCTGGGTGGCTAACCCTCCGGGGTTAAAAATCCGAACGAAATCTTATCTTATCTTAATCATCACCAGATCTTCAATAAAGGTAAGTGTCATGTAACTGTGCATGTCTTCTTCAGTTTGTGTGTATTAAAATTAATATTTCATGTGCGTAAAATTTTTTTTTTTTCAATACTTTGGGGTGTCTTGCACGGATTAATTTGATTTCCATTATTTCTTATGGGGAAAATTAACTTGCCTAACGATTATTTCGATTAACGATGAGCTCTCAGGAATGGATTAATATCGCTGGTTGAGGATCCACTGTATGTCATTATTATTCAGTAGTTTACATTTTACACTACATACAACCTATTTATGTCATGGAATACACATTCCTTGTGCAAATTATTACGTTGGGAGAGATTAGTGAAAACAGTACAGTGTACAGTTATTTTGATTGCAGAGCACGTCCAAGCCGATCAACACTTAGTACCGAGTTGTGTCACAATTATACAATTATATTTTATACAAATCCCAGTTGCATAAGTAAGCTATTATACTTGTACTGTTCATGATTCATGACAACAAGTTACTATGTCAAACACATTTCGAAATCTGTAGTTCTTTTATCTGCTTTTTTCTTTCTACCCCCACATATTTTATCATATACTGCCATCCCTGCTTTCAGACATGGCTGTTTAACATAGAATTTCACACAGTATTATCTTTGTTCTTAATTCCTTATATCCTAGGTAATTTACACTATGTATGATAATTGTACCTATGTGTATCTTTGCCTAAATAAACTTAAATTGTATTGTATTGTAACTTCATAAACTAGTACGTACCTCCCAACCTTTTATAACTAGACAATTCTAATTTTTAGTTCATAATCTTTTCACCTGTATCTTTTTAAAGTTTGTATTAATACCAGGTATTGAACCATCACAAAATAAAAAATAAAACTATAGATTTTAAGAATAAACTAGGTTTTCCCTGAAATTATGAACCTATTATATATTTTGACTGTCCATTAATTTAAAAAAAAAAATACAGGAATTGTATTTGTATTGTACAGTGTAAAGAAAGGCAGGCCAGTTGCTTACTTAAGTCTGACTGATTGCTACTTCACACACTGAGGTCTGTGGTTCGATTTCCTGTACGGGTGGAAACATTAGGAGTGTTTCCTTAAGATACCCGTGTCCATGATCTCTTATTATTAAATTGGTACCTGGGTGTTAGTCGACTGGTGTATTTTTATTATTATTATTATCAAAAAGAGGAGCTAAACCTACAAGGATCATACAACGCCGGGCGACTGTAGGTTGCATCCTGGGGACAAAATTTACCTAATATTCCCGAAATGCTTTCTATATAGTATTATGTCACTGATATCTGCCAGGCCTTTATATATTGTACATATGTATTATTATTATTATTATTATTATGCTGTTATTTACAGGTTGGGTTAGGCTGTTTGTTACATTTACACAACATAAAACAATGTCTATGACAAAACTAACCTAATATTGGGCATTTCTAGGAAGAATTATGGCCAAACTCACATAAGGACCAGATCTCCGTAATTACCCTAAATAAACACTATTACGTTGTAAGCACTAAGGTGCCCAACACTGCCACAGCACAACGGGTTTCTACACTCTGTACCTTACAACGACTCCATTTTCACTCAGGGGATCGAAGGTAAAGGTGATCTTCTTCACGGGTTTGAGGTTCAAGAGTTGAGACTGCTTGCCAAGTGCAGAGTAGAGCCCGGCACTCCTAGTGAAGGCACCAACGTGTATGTAAGGCAGTGCCATATTGAATTTCTCTTCTCTTGTTCTCCCCCCATTCCACCCCCCCCCCCCATTAAAATCCTCCCCAGCCATCCTCTCCCATTCCCTATTTCCTACAGCTAAACCAAAACAAAGGAGTACTAATTATATACACAGTCACAATTACGTATATGTATTTTTAATTTACAAATGTATATAATGTGACAAGAAAATTACCGTATACAACACGTGCCTGATTTTTAGATTTTGCCACCGAAGTGGCTAGTTTATTGTGCACCCCACATCCATCCTGTGGAGGGTAGCACAAGAGCATATGGATACAAAAAAGGCCTAGGAACTAGACCCCAAAAGGGTTAACAGGTGTACATATGAGTTTTTATTTATCTACATATCTAAAGTTCACTTATCTGTTACATGCAAATTTAGGAAATTTGCTTAGTATATCTGGTATCTCATTTTCATTAATAACATATCTTGACATGTCACATAGGTTATTATACTGTCTGTCTCTGTATTCCTCAATAAGTGGACAATTAAGCACATTGTGTTCAAGACAGTGACCATATCCTGATCACATAATTTGCATTTAGTTTGATCATAGTGGGTTGTAGATCTACTCAGGCTTCTAACTGCATTCCTGTAACAATCATTTTCATTATTTACTTCTCTCCTAATATTATTCCTAATGCTAGACACAGATATACCAAAGGTATATCCTACATTCTCCTTCTGGGTACTCTTCTTGACTAACATATCAACTTTATCATGAAGGAATAATCCAATGTGTGATGGGATCCATAGCAATTGTACATTAATTCCTTTGTCCCTGATGCTTTGTAACTTGTGAGTTCATTACCTTTGTAACTTGCTCAGCTATCAAAACTTTGGGGTCCCAGTCCCTGGACCCATCATGTACCCAAACATGTACCTCTAATTTTTTGACTACCGCTCACAGGATGTGTTTACCTGGAGTTTGCATAATAAACATATTAAACTAACTAACCTGATTTTTGAGTATCTATATCTGGCTTCCCCAATGAGCGTGTTAGGAGCGAATGGAGACAAATGGTTTTTAGGACTTGACGTGTTATTGGAGTGTAAGCAAGGTAACATTTATGAAGGGATTCAGGGAAACCAGAAGGCCGGACTTGATTCTTGGAGTTGGGAAGCACACTGCCGGCACTCTAAAGGAGGGGTGTTATTGTTTCAGTTTTATAACTGTAGTGTAAGCATGCCTCTGGCAAGGCCACCCTGCCTTGGTGGGAAACGGCCGATGTTAACCTGGAGGGGGTTTCGGGGGTCAACGCCCCCCGCGGGCCCGGTCTGAGACCAGGCCTCATGGTGGATCAGGGTCTGGTCAACCAGGCTGTTACTGCTGGCCGCACGAACCACAGCCCGGTTCGTCAGGTACTGACTTCAAGTGCCTGTCCAGTGCCTTAAAGACAGACAGGGGTCTATTGGTAATCCCCCTTATGCATGCTGGGAGGTCTTGGACCCCGGACACTTATTGTGTTGTCTCTCAGTGTACTCGTGGCGCCTCTTCTTTTCATCGGGGGAATGTTGCATCTCCTGTCGAGTCTTTTGCTTTCATAGGGAGAGATTTTCGTGTGCCGGTTTGGTACCAATTCCTCCAGGAAGACCGTTCCACACATAACGTGTGGTGACGTGTACTTAGTCAGTGGTGACGTGTACTTAGCTCTGTGAAGACCTGTTTGTGTGCTCTCTGTGAATCTGAACCAGGATGCCCTCTCTTGAGCAACTTTACCAGCAGCTGAGAGAAGAGCTCAGAGTTGCTAAGATGGAGATATGACGATTAACGGAGGAGAACAAGAGGATTCGTAGTAATCCTGTCAACAGATGATAAGTGTTCTCTAAGCCCATCGTAATCTGCTAAGCGAAAATCTGGGACTGTTACTGAGTTATCCCTATTATCATACTTCCATTCAATTCTAAATGTAATTGATTTGTGGTCGCTAGCACCCAGTTCCTCTGAAACTTCTAAATTATTAACAAGGGATTCATTGTTTGCCAGAACTAAGTCAAGCAGGTTATTACCCCTTGTAGGTTCTGTCACAAACTGCTTCAAAAAACAATCCTGAACTACTTCTAAGAAGTCATATGATTCTAAATTCCCAGTCAAGAAATTCCAATCAATATGACTAAAGTTAAAGTCTCCTAGAATTACTACATTATCGTGCCTTGTGGCCCTAACAATTTCCTCCCATAGTAGTCTCCCCTGGTCCCTATCTAAATTTGGGGGATGGTATATCACACCTAAAATTAACTTTTCATGCCCCTTTGAAAATTCTATCCAAACAGACTCTGTATGTGTTACTTCAGACTTAATACCCGTTTTTATGCAACAGTTCAAGCGATCTCGGACATACAGTGCCACCCCACCCCCCTTCCCGATACTTTTATCTACTTGGAACAATTTAAAACCCTGAATGTGACATTCTGCAGGCATGTCCCGACTTTTTTAATTAAACCACGTCTCAGTAATGGCAAATACATCTATGTAACCTGCACTAGCAACTAGTCTCAACTCGTCCATCTTATTCCTAGCACTGCGACTATTTGTGTAATAAATACTTAAATACCCTCCTCTCTCTTTACCCTTCCTGCTCCTTTCTGTTATTCCACTAAACCTATTACTGTCCTTGTCAATTAGTGCCACTGGCTTTCCAATATCCACCTTATTTTGCCTATTACTAGTTCTCCTAGTACTCATATTACTACCCTGAGACTTCGCAGTTTTCCTGCAAAAACCCATACCACTAACTATTCCTAGTTTAAAGACCTAACAGCTCCCTCCACTGCGTTGGCCAGTGCTCCCACCCCACACCTAGATAAGTGAACCCCATCCCTGGCATACATGTCATTTCTGCCATAGAAGAGGTCCCAGTTGTCAATGAATGTTACTGCATTTTCCTTACAGTATTTGTCCAGCCAGCAATTGACACCAATTGCTCTGGACAACCATTCATTTCCAACTCCTCTCCTTGGCAAAATGCCACATATGACAGGATTCCCACCCTTTCTCCTAATTATCTCTATTGCTGACCTATACCTGCTAATCAGGTCCTCACTCCTACGTCTGCCAACATCGTTGCCTCCAGCACTGAGACAGATAATAGGATTGCTCCCATTACCTCTCATGATGTCATCCAGACAGCTAACAATATCCTTCATCCCAGCCCCAGGAAAACACACTCTCTGCCTCCTACTCCTATCCTTCAAGCAGAATGCCCTATCCATGTACCTAATCTGGCTATCCCCAACAACAACAATGTTGAAGGTTGAGACACTTATGCAGCATATGGGAAACTTTATTCAGGAAACGTTTCGCCACACAGTGGCTTCATCAGTCCAATACAAAGAGGAAGGCGTAAGGAGAGGAGGAGTTCAGTCCATCAATCTTGTAGAATGTCATTCTACAAGATTGATGGACTGAACACATCGACTCCAGGTTGAGGGACTGATTACCTCATACTCCTCCTCTCCTTACGCCTTCCTCTTTGTATTGGACTGATGAAGCCACTGTGTGGCGAAACGTTTCCTGAATAAAGTTTCCCATATGCTGCATAAGTGTCTCAACCTTCAACTTGTCGGTTTTTCAAACCACTCATCACAACAACAATGTTTTTACCTTCCTTGGCGTCGTCTGTCATGATGCTCCGAGTAGTCGACTCACAGCTCCGAGTTTACCTGGAGAGAGTTTCGGGGGTCAACGCCCCCGCGGCCCGGTCTGTGACCAGGCCTCCTGGTGGATCAGCGCCTGATCAACCAGGCTGTTGCTGCTGGCTGCACGCAAACCAACGTACGAGCCACAGCCCGGCTGATCAGGAACTGACTTTAGTTGCTTGTCCAGTGCCAGCTTGAAGACTGCCAGGGGTCTGTTGGTAATCCCCCTTATGTGTGCTGGGAGGCAGTTGAACAGTCTCGGGCCCCTGACACTTATTGTATGGTCTCTTAACGTGCTAGTGACACCCCTGCTTTTCATTGGGGGGATGGTGCATCGTCTGCCAAGTCTTTTGCTTTCGTAGTGAGTGATTTTCGTGTGCAAGTTTGGTACTAGTCCCTCTAGGATTTTCCAGGTGTATATAATCATGTATCTCTCCCTCCTGCGTTCCAGGGAATACAGGTTTAGAAACCTCAAGCGCTCCCAGTAATTGAGGTGTTTTATCTCCGTTATGCGCGCCGTGAAAGTTCTCTGTACATTTTCTAGGTCGGCAATTTCACCTGCCTTGAAAGGTGCTGTTAGAGTGCAGCAATATTCCAGCCTAGATAGAACAAGTGACCTGAAGAGTGTCATCATGGGCTTGGCCTCCCTAGTTTTGAAGGTTCTCATTATCCATCCTGTCATTTTTCTAGCAGATGCGATTGATACAATGTTATGGTCCTTGAAGGTGAGATCCTCCGACATAATCACTCCTAGGTCTTTGACGTTGGTGTTTCGCTCTATTTTGTGGCCAGAATTTGTTTTGTACTCTGATGAAGATTTAATTTCCTCATGTTTACCATATCTGAGTAATTGAAATTTCTCATCGTTGAACTTCATATTGTTTTCTGCAGCCCACTGAAAGATTTGGTTGATGTCGGACAAGTTGAAGATTGAGACACTTATGCAGCATATCCGACATAGACAAGGATGTCAGCCACAGCACCGTGTCTTCCTTTGCAGATGACACCCGAATCTGCATGACAGTGTCTTCCATTGCAGACACTGCAAAGCTCCAGGCGGACATCAACCAAACTTTCAGTGGGCTGCAGAAAACAATATGAAGTTCAACGATGAGAAATTTCAATTACTCAGATATGGTAAACATGAGGAAATTAAATCTTCATCAGAGTACAAAACAAATTCTGGCCACAAAATAGAGCGAAACACCAACGTCAAAGACCTGGGAGTGATCATGTCGGAGGATCTCACCTTCAAGGACCATAACTTTGGGTATCAATCGCATCTGCTAGAAAAATGACAGGATGGATAATGAAAACCTTCAAAACTAGGGAGGCCAAGCCCATGATGACACTCTTCAGGTCACTTTTTTCTAT